TTTAAAGTACATAATCTAAGCATTAACATATCGTCACAGCTATATTTTTGCCCCTTAGCCTACACAGATTTCGCTCCATTAATGCTTCAACACACTTTCTGTTCATAGTAATTTGCATAAATCAATTTACATTTAAAAAATATTTTTGCTTCTTGTTCAAAATACTTATGTAAAATGAGGTGAAAAAACAATTCTTTAGATTTTTTAGGGACAACTTAATTGTTTTATGTTCAATCCACATCAATTTGTTATGTTAACTTAATCGATTTGTGTTTGGACGACATGATTGGATTCTGTGGAGCCCTTCATTTTATAGAGTGTAATGTGTTCTCACATTAAATTAATATCATATTTTAAATTTGTAGTTCATGAGTAGTAAATAATTTAACGTACACATACAGAAACAACCTTACAAGAAAATGGCGCAGGTGTAGGCTACAGTTTTAATTTGCACGGTATAAGGTGGAATAATTTCAACCCAGGCTCATTCTGATACGTACCCCTATATACATTTCTGGAGAGAGCAAAATACTTCCCAGGAGCTTTTTTTTTTTTTTTTGGAGTTTTCGCGAATCCACCAGAGGGCGCTGTGTACGCTTTTTTTAGATCTCAAATTTCTCCCTCGAGTGCCATTTGTGGCTGTTGTTCTCGCGTAAATCCACCAGAGGCCGCTGTTGACTGACTGATTTACTGACTGACCAACCGACCGAACCCCCACCCTCCCCCTTCCCTAAACCCAACCAATAGTGTTTTAGAAAGCACTTATTGACCCACCCACCCCCTTCCCTAAACCCAACCGCAATGTTTTTAAAAGCAATCTAGAATAAGAAAAGCCCTTGCCTGATATTTACCACATTTTCAGATTTTGCCACATTCTCACCCTGTTATTTACTTGTTTATTTTATTTTTTAACTTTTGTTTTTGTCTTATCTGAACCATTTTTCACCAGACTCAAACCCTGTGTTGTGGTCAACTCCTCTCCGCATCTCAAGTCTGCCGACATACATGTTGAGCTACTGGACAAACTGGACAAACTGGTAACAGTGGGAAAGTAATCCATACAGTGGTAAGAAGTCAGCTGGTAATCGAGAAAAGGAGTAGCGTTGTACCACCCCCTTATCATTCATTTTAAAGATGAAATGCCACCATGCGTAGCTCTGGTTCCATAATTTGTGATCTCTATAAACGTATATAGTTTTCAGAATGAGCCTATGTTGAATAATTTTCACAGCCTAGTTCTCACTACTTACTAATCTTGAGTACGTTTTACTCATACTTTGAGTAGTATTTAAAACAGATACGTTTACACTACTTGCACAAAATGTTACTTTTAACGCAAGTTTTTCAGTACTCTTTCCCACCCCTGGCAGGCAGTCAAACTGTTTTTACTAATCTGTGTATATGTCAAGTTACATTCAGCTAATGTTGACCAGAGGCTAATTTAGAAGTAAACTTTAAAAATAAAGTGCGGCAACCTCTGTTCATTCACAAGATCTTTCAGCATGAAGGCAGCACTTTATTAACAAGTCTCTGGGCGTGTAGTTTGAGGAACTGTGAGGTGAACGGGAGTGTGCAGATGTATTCTGCTTTACTGAATTTGTATGTTCCACAGCAACAGCTTTAACAGACGTCAAAGGCACTCAGCAAACATGACATGCCCAGTGGTTAAAGTTTACACCTTTGTTTTTTCGTAGGTTGAAGTTTAACGTTACCAAGGCAAACCTATTTCCACAATGGGTCAGTCTTTTGAAGTCCTGTGGTAGGATTGTATAATACAGAATATAGTCATTGTTTTAATGGGCGAGTCGATATGTGAATACACACTTTAGTGACTCTATAAACCAGATAACCAACCTAATGGATGCCTTTTTAAAGCCTCTCTCCACCTGGATGAGAACAGCAAGTTCTTTGTAAGCCTGCTTCGGACTGGAGGAAGGTTGAATACTCCATGTGATCATGCAAATCTGTTTGTAAACAAAGATCCAGTTTCAGCCGGAGTAGCATAGATCAGTTTTATTACTAAAATGCCCTTAAGTGAACATTTCAGTCATTTAAATAAAAAAAAGCTGTTGTATTAAACAAAAAAAAAAATGTTAAACAGCATTTGGAGGAAAAAGTGGCATTGTTCATATTCTCCTCAGCAAAGTTTATTCAAGAAAAGTTCTACAGAATAATGAGAATTAATTAAATTTATAGGCGCCTTTTCTGGTAAGGTCACCATACAAATAATCCCATAAATTTATGCAATCTAGAATCCATACAAACAAGAAACTGATCCACACATACATTTGAAGACTATGGACTCTATTTTAGTGATCTTAAAGTTGCTTATCATCAAACAAATTTTCTCCTTCTCCAACAGCCACAATCATTCCATATAATGTTGATGCTTGAGTCTCAAGGACAGGGTTTTCAGTCCTCTTTCTCCTTAAATACCCAGCACACTGTGTTCTCAACATGAGGAGAAAATGCTTATCGTATTACCTATAGAATCAGCCACTAGATTTTACCGGCAGTGCTCAACATTTGATACACAGACAGGACAGACTGTAGGGAAGACATCCAAGAAGACCTCGTCTCCACCGATGAAGGTGATCGGAGACAAACAACAAACTGCAGACTCATGCTAAATCATGCTTAACTCAAAAAACAAGAGGGTGATTTGTGTTTCTACTGTAAATTTTACATGGAAGGCTTTTGGCGTCTCATCAGGGTGAAATTTAATCCAGATGCTGGTATGTGATGTCTAGAAAACAACAGTTGCAATCTAGACAAAATTGGACACCATTGACTTTCAGTGCAATATTGAGAGGCACTGATGGCCTTGATACATAAAATAATTTGTTTGTGCATTTGCCTGTGTTATCTAGAAGAGAAAGCTGTTGACAGCGTATGCAAAACTCTTGTGTATAATTGCTATTAGATGGAAAAAAAAACATTCTGTTAAGTTGATTTACAACTTAATTTTATAAAAAGATCAAATGCGTGTCACCCGAAGCCACACGCGACTGAGTGTTCTTTCTCAAAGGCAAACTGATATTTTTATTTTATCACACTGGTACATACTACAACGTGCATGTCTACATTTCACTGCACTTAAAGAAATAATGGTAAGCGAGTTGTTACTGGGGTGGTACCTTTTCAAAAGGTACACGTTTAGGGTATATATTGCTAGCTTAAAAGTGAAAATTAGTACGTAAAGATTTTGAGAGGAACCCATTTGTACTTTTTAGGTACTAATATGTACCCTTGAGGTATTAATATAGACCTTTTAATTTAAAATTTGTACCTCTTGAAAAGGTACCACAACAGTGACAACACTCCTACCTCGATTGTGTTGTGTATAATAGTTGGCAGATTTTTAAAAAATAATTCAGATTTTATTTTCAGTACTGCTGATTTTTTATTTATTTATTTTGTAAAGAAAATTCCATACCACAAAGTCAAATTTTGTATAAAATATACCAACACAATCTCACAGCAATTCGTAACTTTTTCATTTAGTGGCTAATTTTATGAATTCGTACTATCTAATTCGTACATTTTAGTACAATTTGCTCATCCCCCAATGACGGTTGGGTTTAGGGGTGGGGTTAGGTGCCACGCCTCCTTTTTAAAAATTTTACAATTTCGTACGAATTAGCCACTAAACTGACAAAACGTAATATACAGTACTTACGTTTTCTCGTGAGATCAGGCTGAATATACAGTAAAAATGGCAAATTGTGAAAAATGTTGTTGTAAAATATTTTTAGGGGCGACTTGGTGGCTCAGTGGTTAGCACTGTCGCCTCAAAGCAAGAAGGTCATTGGTTCGAGTCCTGGCTGGACCAGTTGCCATTTTTGTGTGGATTTTCTCACCGTGATGACGTGAGTTTCCTCTGGGTGTTTGGTTAATCAGGGGTTGCCACAGCGGAATAAACTGCCTTAATTACTACACTGTTAACAATATCCTGTCTACAGTAACTTGCTGTGAGTTACAGTAAAAAGACTGTATTTACATTTACAATGGCATTTATCTTGCTGGACATGTATTTACAGTATTGTTTATCTTTACTGTAAAATATAGTCATATAGTTAAAGACTATAGAATACTCAAGACATGTCACTCGTATAGTTTTGAATGGGGAAAAGTGTAAGGGTCAATATGGTGTATGAAGCCCCGCCTACTAGTACAGGAGCCAATCATTGATCGATATAGACTGACATTCCTCAGGGGGACCAGGCGTGTGCTTTTACAACAATTTTTGTGGTCAACACAAGCACTGGAATCTCAGTGAATACTTGCTTCACAGACATAAAAAATATATCCACATAAAGCTTGAAATCTGTGCTTTTAAATGAACCAACTACACTTGAAAACTAAAGTTTTTTGGTTTTGTAATCAGTATGAAACAAACGTGAGGTACTGACAAAACACATATCACATGACAGCAACTACTCAAATGCCTATAAACTTGTAAACAAGGAGTCGCTGTCACTTCTGGAGGAGAAATGGCATCACGACAAAGTTATTAATTATTTCAGAAGACCAGTGCGATCTGACAAAACATTATTCAGAGGATGATAATATCTAGAAATGACCATCAAGGAGGTTGTTGTCGTGATCTCTTTCTTTTCAAGTGTGCATGCACATTAGCCTTGGCAACCAGACAAAATGCTGTATTTGATTGATTCTGACGTAGTAACAAAACTTAAGGCAGTTGTTGCTTAATTTTATTGATGATTCTAAATATGTAATGTAATCGTAAGCTTACAGTTTTGGAGAATAGATGTTTCCCTGTTCAGACAGAATGCCCGAGAGGTGTTTTAAAAATGGCCGCCAAGTGAAATGAGCTAGAACAATTTTCTGTAAGTAGGGATGTCAATCTATCATTTTTTTGTCCAATTACTACAATATATGGTATTCAATAACTTACATATTAATTTGGACAAAGAATTACCCCTGAAGAAAATGTAAAGTCATTATAGTGTTAAAGGTGAAAAGCAACAGACAAAAAGTATTTTAGAAAGATATAATTTATTTGATTCAACATAGAATGTTTTACACACAAACTTGATTTTTTCTCAGTTCCATCTGCATTGTTTTTATTTTATTTTACAAACATTCTACCCAATATCTTTAAAACTAAAGAAAAGCAAAGAAATGTTTTATGACATGAAGAGAAGTAAATAACGACAGAATCTTCATAGTTGACCCATCCCTTTTATATTGATATGACTTTATGGGAATAAAAACCTACTGGAAACATTCTCTGTAGGCTATTTTTTGTAACCAAAAACTATCCATCCCAGAACACTACAGTTTTTTTTAACTAACATATTAAACAACCTGAAAGATAATCTTATGGAAATGTTTTATTTATGAGCAGTAAACAGTCCATTTACATCATTGAAACATTTATTGTATTCATTTAAACAACTGATTCATTCAAGAAAGAAGTTAACTGCTTTATTAAATTATTTGGTTTACTTAATTAAAAATATGGATTTAATTGAATCACTGCTGTGTGTTTTAATTAAAGACTCAATCCTGTGGTTCATATTTTTGTTGCCGAAAAATAACAAAATCAAATGATACTGTCTTAAATAAAACAGTAATAGCTTAATATGTTGTATAATAAATATAATATTTGCACTTGAGCTATTCAGGAGAAAAAAACACTGTGATATTGCTTACATATCAAAAAATCTAACGTAAAAATATGAAACAAAACTCATACAAGGGTATTTTTGCCTCAAAATCTCCAATTAACCATTTTGTTCATAGTTATATACCTTTATAGTTACCGTACTTGGTGTGAATGGGCCTTAATACAGTTACAATAAAAATGCATTGATGTAATAACCACAATGTACAACCCTTCATCCTGTGACTCAGGCTTGTTAAGAGCTTATCATCACTGTCTATGTAAATGCCATCACTGGTTACGGTTGAAGGGAATTTTCCACTCAGCGAATTTCCCTTTGGGAACTATTCCTGATGATGTCCCTGTGAAGAGGTCATATACACACAAAGAGCTTCACAGTCCAACTAAACCTCCCACGTTATTTAATTTTCAAATGTCGATTTGTATGCTCAAAAATAGAGTTTTTGTTAAAAATATCCGTAGCAGTTTTCCGTATTTTGTGATTCATGTTATTTTCCCCCATTTATTTATGCTATAAATTGCATTATGGGAGCTTGATCTCTCTTCCAACAACTTTTAACCGTGAAAAGTAAAATAAAGTGACTTTTATTAAGATTTTAAATAGTTTAAAGTTATATATTGTCTGGGTTGTACATTATGGTACAAGGACCTTGTAATAAACAGCTGTTAGGATGCTAAGTATCTCCATAATATTAAACCATGAGAACTGTTATGGAATTCCACACTAGACACGACCACGAAAATTGTCCAGAACAAACAATAAACTTTCTAATCTGAGAAGATCAGCTAGGGAACCAGTTTTCAACTATCTCGAACATGCACCCTCTGCCCTCAGCTTTACCTTCTCCACCAGAGCAGCTCACTCACATTCCACACAGAATGTCCAAGTTTTTAATACGGTGTATCTTGTGGCTCTATATTCATGTTTGGTGTCATTTTAAATGTCTCAGTGTGATTGGTAAAGTGGTCTTAATTTCACTGTAATATTTTTACAATTTCCCTTATATCAAATAATATAATCAATATAAGATGCTCCACTCCAGGGAAAATGCTCTTCACACCATCTCATGACCAGTTAAGGGTCTTGGTCAAGCTTTTATTGTCTTGAATTTATTGAGATTTATGTATTTAAGGGAAAGGTGCAGAAGTGTCTGTGGGATTCTGTAGCCAGGATGCCCCGTTGCAGTGTACGAGTCTCTGAGCTCTGCATCAAGGCTTATATGCTGCAACCTATTTCTACATGGTCAGGTATTAATCTCTTGTACTCTTAAATGTATCTTTGAGTAATTGATGTTGTACAATCTGAATTGGCTTATGTTGTTTACTTATGTGAATTGGAATAGATAAGTCTTTGCCTGACAAATAAATGTAAAATTCTTGTTTAACTCTATTATCTCCTGAAATCATGTAAATTGTTTAGGCTGATGTTTCCGCAGCCTACGACCAGGATTAGTCAAGCATTCAGGCTCAATGGATGGAGCATAGGCACAGCATTAGAGTCATGTTGATTACTGACAATCACTGAAATAGTATGATATAATCTAGTGGCTGAATCAAACTTTCTTCATATATAAGCAAGCATGGGGCGGCCTAATATTACTTAAAGGAAATTAGTTTTGTTATATCCTCTATCTAAGAACCAGAACTGGCGAGGATGCGTCCATGAGCAGATGGATCAGGCCAGAACACTGACTCTAAGCGACTTAAAGTAAATGATGAACCATTAACTTAAAATAAGGATTTATTAGGTTAATCAATCTAAATCAGACCAAATCACAACCTATAAGGTGATCAGTTTGAATTGGATGAATCTAAAATAAAATTGACTCCTATTTATAATGAATTGAAGTTGGAAACTAATTAAAATAAATTAACAAAATAAAATATTTCATTTCACATGTGCTAAAAAGGCTTACATTTAACTTTAACCCATGCTGTCAGTTCTGTCATAAGACTAATAGATGGACCCTGATGTTGCGTTCACACCAGATGTTGAAGAAGCGTCGAGTGCTAGTGATTTACATGTTAAGTCAATGTAAAGACCCGAGTCTACGCTTTTTTTCAGCCTTCATAAAGCACATAAACAGTTATTTTTTCATTAAAATCCATGTTAGCCATTTAGTAATGAAGCTAGAGTCACCGATCAGACAGAAGCCCTGCCCATGACATGAATCCGCATCTGTTCTAAAAAGAACATGACACGCGAATTAATCGGATGTTGACACGCAAATGAAGCAAACACAAATTAAAGTTTCACAAACTAATTTCGAGAGGAGCACATGATAAGATTGAGCACAACTGCCTTCTCATCTGTAATCAGTAATAATCCAATCAGAGTGATCCAAGCTTACTATAAATGGATCGTTTTTTTCTCCCTACTACTCTAACTTCATTTAGGAGCCAAACCTGCTATAAACGGCAAGCATATCTAAGTGGGAAATGTTCTTGCGTCTATTTACGCGCGATTTATCCGCGTCTGGTGGGAACATAGCATTACACTGCCAGTACATTTTCTGTTATTTTACAGATTTTTCTCTCAATACATTATTTTTTAGTAATTATATTATTTCAAACTACTAAAATGTCAAAATAAAAGTCACTTTGTTAAACCATAAAGTAAAATTTTCAACATCAAAAATCAACAGAGCAGAGATCGAGGTCCCATAATGCAAACCACAACCAATTCACAACCAAAAATTCACAACCAAAAATAAAAGGAAAACATTAGTGAATCACAAAATATGGAAACATGTTAATTAACAGATATCTTTTAGTGATGGGTCGTTTATGAACGATTCGTTTATTTTAAATGAATCTTCAGTATGACTCGGGAACTACAAGTCCTCTCAGGGAGTGATTCGTTCATCAGCACACAAATTTGTGCAGGCGGTATCATTCATTTCAAGTCTTTTGAGTTGTTTATCGTGGAAAGGCAGAAGCCAATCATATGCGTTTAGAGCCAGAAAAAGATTTGATCTGTTTATCTCTGGAGTCCTCTATCGGGTCTGAATCATTTGTTCCTCACGGGCCAATCATATGCGTTTAGAGCCGGAAAAAGAATTGAATTAAAAGGTGAACTAACTAATTATAATGGCTCCTACCGGCTCAGACTGTGTACTTTGGTTAAGATCATATGTGACTGTCAGTGTAAAGTGAACGAACCACTGACATTTGAAGACATGAAGAGGTGAGCTGAGCAAAGAGACAACAATACCTTCATAGAAAAAAGAGCAGGTAAACATCGAATTATTATTTTCTCCTTCTGATAGTAATCCATTTATGACTTAATTGTCATGTGATCAACCTTTTGGGCTAGTTGTAGATGTTTGGAAGCAATTCGTAACATTTTAACAATATTTTGGCAAATTGATACAAATGAACGAAACGACTCGAAAAAAGATTCGCTCATCTCGATGAACGAGACTCAAAGATCAGAGTCAGTAAAATGATCCAAACTTCCCATCACTAATATCTTTTACAATCAAACTACTTACTCAAAATGAACAAACAACACAATTCTTGAGATTTTTTGGGACAACTCAATTGTTTTACGTTCAGTCCACTTCAATTTGACACTTTAACTTAATCGATTTCTGTTGGGACAACATGAATGAATTGTGTGGAGCATTTTTACAGTGTACATCACTAAACAGAACATATGCATTTAGTCTGAAACCGTATTCAGTTAAATGCACTGTCAATAAATACAAAGGTTGGAAAATAATGAAATAATCTTGTTGCTGCAACAAAATAAACAAACATTATTAATATATTATATATATATGCGAATTAAGGCTTATGCATACAGTATGTACGGTGTTGCCACCAACATGAAGAGTGGTAGAAGCAGCATTTGAGAAGTCATTACAGTGACAGAAATCCAGCACACCTTTATTTTACAGCCCTTTGCTGACCTGTGCTTTCTTTAGCAAACACAGCTGGTAGCATTGCAGTAGTCTATACAATCACGGGTACAGCTAATCTTTTTTTATGTGTCCCATGCACAAACAAGCCTGTACTGTACAATATCAGGTACAGTAACTGATCGTGTTGCCTTTTGGTGGAGCAAACTAAAATAAGTGTTGCTCAGAGTTCGTCCGAGTTCAAGTTGGACTGTCCAGTCGACCACAGCGATGGAAAAACTAAATAATTAATTCAGAAATGCCAGGAAAAATAACACCTGTCATGAGTTGATCACTGGGGTCTCCTGATGAAATTTCCCTACAGCGAGAAACAAGAGGAAATGTTAGACAGAATCAATCATCAGGACATTTGGATACCCTAATATTACACAAACAAATATGAATCAAGGAAATACAAATAAATAAATATAAAACATCTTAATAATTACAATGCACTTATTCAAATTAACAGTATATCAAACTGATATGCATATAAAAATGTCTGTGGTGGTTATTAAACAGAAAGATATCAAATAAAGTAATATAAATAATGATAGATAGATAGATAGATAGATAGATAGATAGATAGATAGATAGATAGATAGATAGATAGATAGATAGATAGATAGATAGATAGATAGATAGATAGATAGATAGATAGATAGATAGATAGATAGATAGATCTAATATAAAAGAGGTGAATTGGAATTATATTTGAGTTTGTTTCCAAAGAAAAAGACAGAAAACATACAGTTTAGTTTATTAGATTTCTCCATCCAAGCCCTCAAACCTTGCAAAAAAATGAAAGTAATGATAATTAACAACACAAAAATCAAAATGGCCTTTAAATTCCATCATCCCAGACAGAACGTCACCAAGTGCACTCCAGGAATGAAAGCAGATTGTGAAAGAATGAATGGCAATGAAAAGAGAACATTTCCCAACAGACGATCAAGTAATCAGTAATCAAGCGAGAAGCTCCGTAAGACCAAGAAATGGCAGAATTCAGAAGCTCAAGGACAGATTTGGCTTTCTTCACCAGGAGAAAAGATAAGGATGTTTTGTTTGGGTGATTATGAGACTGATATTCATCGTAAAATAATGTCAAATTTTGTAACATACATTTATCTGTATTAAAAGTTTAAGATTAAAGATTAAAGGCAAAAAATGACACTGGACAAAATATAAAATAAAATAATTGTTTTGACTTTTCATCTCACAGCTCTGACGTTTTTCTAGCAATAGCATATATATGTACATACACACAGTTTAAGACAAAAAGATTAGCCTTCCTGTCTAATTGTAATTCTTTTGCAAAAATTTCCCAAGTTTAACGGTGATCATTTTTTAACATAATACTTTTAATAACTAATTTCTAACAGTTAATACATTTAGAATTAGCGTGACAAAACACAACATTATAGTTACTTTGCAAGATACTAGTATTCAGTTTAATGGCTTGTCTGGTGATTGGACATCAGTAGTTTGTTCCAGCTGATTTAAATGTTATCCCTCGATTGAATGGGCTTTATCAGTAGTTATCAGCTGATAGATATGGGCCAGTAGGGTCCTTCTGTGCCTACTAGTATAGTATGTTATCATCAGGGCATAATTTGGGCAGCTCATTTTACAGATCCCCCTCCTCACACATCGATGAAAAAAATTAATTTGCAGAAAAACACTTTCTGCCAAAAAACACTTTCATCCACAACACTCCAGACACAACACACCATCACTGCACACCATCAATAATATTAATTATTTATATTATTTATTACATTTGCTGTTTATTGTATTTTATTAACGTCTACCCCAACACATCACAGTAATGTAAATACTGATCTGGAGTCTTCTCTATTACTACAGCTAATTAACTAGTAGGCCCAGAAGGCCCCTACTAGCCCATATCTATCAGCTGATAACCACTCATAACGCCCATTCAATCTACTGATAACATTCGAAGCGGTGTTTGTTGTGTAGCCAATCACTTTTTTTTTTTTAATAGATTTAATAATATTGATCCAAGCAGTTTTCAAATAAAAAAGATAATCAATATATACACACACACACACACACACACACATAAATATATATATATATATATATATATATATATATATATATATATATATATATATATATATATATATATATATATATATATATATATATATATATAATACACATGGGAAATATTTGAAAAATAAATACAATTTTCACAGTAGGGCTAAAAATATTGTCGTCAACTGCATAGGACATTTCATGTTTATATCTTGCAATATTAAGTTATAAATTCCAGTCAAGTTTCTGAATTTAGTTTTTTTTTTGTTTTGTTTAGTAGGCTGCCTCACAAATTGAATTTGATTTCTAACAATTGCAAGTCAACATCTTGCAGTTCCAACTGTATCAACAGTTTGGCTCGTCTTTTAAAGGTCCTGTAAAGTGCTTTGAAATCTAAATTTTTAATTTCAACCAAAACAAGATGAGAGTGTGAAACGGAGTGTAGCTTCTTCTCTTTTTTAAAAACAGCCAATAGTGTTTTGTTTCCTTACAGCTGTGCCAGTGAGAGCATTGAGCTCAAGTGCATTAAATGAAAAGCAAAAGAGAAGCGTCTTGAAAGGGGCGGGGCATGTCAGATACTAAAGAGCATTTGATTGGTTATGATTTCATGAGAAACTTAAGTATGAGTTGACGTGAATAGAAACATTGATCCATTTAGGCGGAAGTGACAAACTACAAGCTTTACATGTTTATATCAGTTTTATACACTCACTGGCCACTTTATTAGGTACACCTGTCAAACTGCAAATTTCTAATCAGCCAATTACATGGCCGCACCTAAAGGCATGCAGACATGGTCAAGACGATCTGCTGCAGTTCAAACCGAGCATCAGAATGGGGAAGAGAGCTGATTTAAGTACTTTGAATGTGGCATGGTTGTTGATGCCAGACGGGCTGGTCTGAGTATTTCAGAAACTGCTGATCTACTGGGATTTTCACGCACAACCATCTCTAGGGTTTACAGAGAACGGTCCGAAAAAGAGAAAATATCCAGTGAGCGGCAGTTCTGTGGGTGAAAATGCCTTGTTGAAGCCAGACGTCAGTGGAGAATGGCCAGACGGGTTCGACTGATAGAAAGGCAACAGTAATTCAAATACCCACTTGCTACAACCGAGGTCGGCAGAAGAGCATCTCTGAACACACAACACACCCTGAGGCAGATAAATGCCACTCCTGTCAGCTGAAAACAGGAAACTGAGGCTATAATTCGCACAGGCTCACCAAACTTGGACAATAGAAGATTGGAAAAACATGGCCTGGTCTGATGAGTCTCGATTTCTGTTGCGACATTCGGATGGTAGGGTCAGAATTTGGCATCAACAATATTGTGCAGCCGACAAATCTGCAGAAACTACGTGATGCCATCATGTTAAAATGGACCCAAAATTTCTTGTTGAATAACTTGTTGAATGCATGCCATGAAGGATTAATGCAGTCCTGAAGGCAAAAAGGGGTCTAACCCAGAACTAGTAAGCTGTCTCTAATAAAGTGGTCGGTAATTGTATCTTCTAAATGCGAATTTTGTGATCTATTTTGGAGCACACCAACTTATAGATATTCTAAAAACGAATAATACTGATACTAACATCTAAAAAACTTTATTTTAATTTTATGGGACCTTTAAGAGGTATGCCAAACAAGTGGTAAATAATAATACTATTAATCCTTATTTTTATTTACTCATCATCACCCTTACAAAACAGCAAGACATTTTGTTAATCACCAGACCAAAAAGAGAACATAAGACCAATATAAATGTCAGTTGATCAGTATCATGCATGCTGAATAAGAAGGAAGACAGATGAAAGAGAAATGGCAACAAACTGGAGACACCCAAAAAACAAAAAAAAACAATGTTCCCTACATACATTCGTATATATTTTTCTCATATCTTCAAGTTGTGTCGTGGGGCTGGTGCTGCCGCTCTGGGCTCGGGGTGGAGTGCCTGTGGACGCTCGAGGAATTACATTGTCATATGATTCCAACTGCTAAAATCGAAAACACAGTCCAAATAGATATGACAGGTGAACACAAGCGTATGAGAACATTCAGGTCTTCAGCAACAAGCATATATGTAAATAGGTTTTATTTGTGAATGTGTAGCTCTCTGTTTTATGTTTTTGTTGTGGACAACCACCACAAGCCTCGGTGGTTATATGTATGCATAGTCAAATCAGTAGTAAAATACTTGCACTCACATTTCCCGTTCCTTTTGTGATGATAGCCAGTTCTGTCGGCTGGTAAACACAACTGCGCAGCTGGCCGTTATAGCCGCTGTATGGAGACACAGGCTTGTTACCTGAGAAAAACAAAAAAGTTAGAAGAGAAATATTAGATGGTTAGACTTTGTGTGGCACACATGGTATGCTTTATAGTTCTGAAGACGAAAAAATGCATTGCTGCTATATACAATAAATGTAGATGACCCATTGTTCTATGAATCACAGTATAAATTTGGTTGAAATCAAACTCTGTTTAGATTGATTTACAAAAATATATGGTAAAATTTATTTATGAACTAATTTTGAGAGGATCACGTGCTTATGATTGATCACAGCTTGTCCCGCATCAGCTCACGACTCTATAAATAACCAGAGTGTTCTTATCCCAGTATCTTCATCTTGAAGAATCCCACCCCTACACTCCCTCCTTTCAAGATGGGCGATGCGGTGGCCCAGTGATTAGCGTGGTTGCCTCACAGCAAGAAAGTCTCTGGTTAAGTCCCTACTAAACCAGTTTTCAATTCAGTGTGAAGTGTGCTCGTTCTCCTCATGCTCGCGTGGGTTTTCCCAGGGTTCTCCAGTTTCCTCACACAGTCCAAAACAAAACACGCAAGCTAAGTAAATTGAACATACCAAATTGATACCATAGCCCTGCTCTTAGCAAGTGTACATCTCTCCTTAACCATCCTATATCTGTCAGATATCTGTCAGAAATAAGTCGGAGGAGTTCATCAAGGTCTACCTGAGCTAAAACTCCCCTCTTGCACTGCAAATGGGATGGATGCAAATGGCCCAGCGCTCGAGGATCTCATAAGCTCAGGGCTCTTTCCCAGGACAGCATGCCAAAGAAGCTTTATTATCAATCATCAGACAAGTGTGAACTCCTGAAATACCAGTTAAAAATTCAGGCACAGTAAGGGTGCGTGTCCACCAAATTGGAAAACACTAGTGCTGTACCAAAACTGCTCAAAAATGCTATTGAAACTGTCTGAGATTTTAAAATCATTAAACGCAAAAGACTTTCACATAAGAAGCACACTCAACACCTCGCTATGTTAAAGCCATTTTTTGAATAATCGGTTGCTTCTATTGACTACAACAGATAAAAAAGGTTTCAATTATTAATTAATAATGTTTTCTGATCAAAAACTGTGTTCTTTTAAACAAAGTAATCATAAAAATTGGCTTGTCACACTGCAGTTGAAACACACCTATGTGAGTAACAATGTTTTAAGTGCCACTAATTGCTGCATATGTTTGTTCTAAGGATGCAACACAGGCTCGAAATACGAGCACGAAATACGTACCTGGATGTACGTTTTTTTGCAGTTTTTGTTTTCGCGAATCCACCAGAGGCTGCTGTTTACGCTTTTTCAGATCTCAAATTTCCCTTGCGAGTGCCAGTGGTGTCTGCTGCTTTAATGTCTGTAGGTGACTGACCAACCGACGACAACCCCACCCATCCCCTTCCTTAAAGCCAACATACAGTGTTTCCAAAGGCAATCTAGAAAAAAAAAGCCCTAGTGGTCGCCTGATTTTTACCATGATTTCAGATCTTACCATGTTCTCACCCTGTTATTTACTAGTTTTTTTTTTGGCTTTTGTTTTTGTCTTATTGCTTTCTGGAACCGTTCTTCACCAGACTCTAACCCTGTCGTTGTGGTCAACTACTCTCTGCATCTAAAGTCTGCTATCATATGTGGGAAGCTACTGGGCACTTGTAACAGTGGGAAAGCCGTCTATACTGAGTTAAGGAGTCAGCTGGTTGCGCAAAAAGGAACAGAAGCCGTCAGCGGAGTTATACCACCTTGTAGTATTTGTTTTAGGGTGCTTTCACACCGGTGAATCGATTCAGTTGTTCCGAAACAGAGATTACAATTGTTACATTGTTGCTCTTTGCTCTTGGAGTGGTTCGCTTTCACACTGCAAAGTTTCTAATCGGACCAAAAGAGCTAAAACAAGTCACGTGCGAGTAAACTGTCCTTACATTGGTCAGAGTGTCAGAGTTTATTTTGCAGCGTCCCGCTAAACTGTCAGGAGAGGTGGTGGTTTGGTGGTGATTGACAGGGTGCGTGCGTGCGACGTGTCTGAGGAGAGATGAAGTGGGGAGGGGTGAGAAGGGTGCGCGACGATGCCTATTTGAGGATGGGGAGGGAGACGCGAGATTACCGGGAGATCATCACTCGTGTGCGGGCATCTGGAGACTCGCGAAACTTCCCGCCATACTCATAATTCTCTCTTCATATAGCCGCAAGCCTATTACATATCCATAAAACACTGTGATATAACCGCGCTCGGATCAGATCGCTTTCTCACTGCAATCGAACCACTCCAGGGTTCGTTTCAATCAAGCCGAGACCACCTCATTCAAGCGATCTCGGAGCGATTACTTTATTGCGGAACAGAGCGCGATTGCCCTGTTCACATATGCCAAACGAACCGCGCTAACTGGGCAAACGAGACGCGTTCCGAAACAAAAGCACCCTTAAATTGAAATGCAGCCATACATAGCTCTGGCTACTTAATTCACGCTCTCTGAAAATTTATACGGTGGTACGTTTTCACAATGAGCCTCTGTTGCAACAATACACTATGAATTGGTTAAAAAATCAATAAAAATTTTTTTAAAAATATATATATATATTATTTTTAAACTGAATTAAGTCTTTTGTCTCACTATTTTATTTCATTTGTTTAGTTTTATTTCATTTGGATTGCCTGCTCATTTTTACATTGCTTTGTTATTTAGAATGGAAGATTTTAATTGTTTTATAAAGAAATGTAAGAACTGTTAAAAGCGATTGATCGATTTTACTTTAAAAAGTTATACCTTAATTTTTATAATTAGGCTCATAGTTTAATTAATGATTTAAAGCCAATATGATATTGGCAAATCATTTGCTCACTTCATTTAAGTGAAGTCAACTTGTCGCTTTTAAGGCAACAGGTTTACCCATTTTTATTTTTACTTTTTCAACAAATTAATCACTTTTTACAGTTTATTAAATCGACACTTTCACTTATAATCTTACATAAAAAATACGAAAAAATGTATTGTGAAATTGTATTTTATAAGGCTATGAGTTGTGCATTACGTATTTATACAATGTTTCTAATCAATATTAGACAGCCCAGAATGACAGGCAGAATTATAGATAGACCAACAGATTGATAGGCCGAGTTATAGATAGAATGAGATATTTTATTCACTTGTATTGAACGACAGCAACAAAGGATGTTTCCAAGTAACTAGATATATAACTCTATTTAGTCATAATCTCTCAACAAACATCTCCAGTTATCTATCAGCCCTGATAGGTGCATTCATAAGGCCTCTGACACACAGTGCTTTGATAAGACTGGACTGACGCAGCGGGTCAGAAATGTCCTCCTGCTCTGTGAAACACTGATGACACCATTGCCACGCCTCAGTCTCTGTGGAGACCTGCTAATGCAAACACACACACTTCAGGGTCTCTAAAGAGACTCTGATACGAGCAGTATGTGCACCTATTGACTCATGCCATGGTGGGAGAGGTTGTCCATTCGCCTACGGGTGTTCATTTACTAGCTCGATATGACTTCTGAACTTTTGAAAGCAACCAGATGCATTCCTTCCACATCACAAAACCACAATTGCTATGCAAATATTGACGGACATGGGGAAATGTTAGACATATGGCTGCATTGCTAGTGACAGATGATTGAATATGTGTAACTGTATTGTGAGTCAGTTGGTTGAGCAAACACGGTTGGATATTGTTGATTCAGAATAGAAGGGTTTGACGCACATGAAATGACAGTTCTGAATGCACAAATGCACAGAAACGCTCATGTTTTGATGTCAAATTCATGGACATCAAAAGGCAGAAGGGATATTTGCATGTTTGGCTGGAGGAAACAAGCAGGTGCAAATACAAAGACAGTGAGAGACGTCGACAGGGCGAGGATGAAGAGGAGGGTGAACCGTGCGATCAGATATTAGTGCGATGGGATTCAAACATCAGCATACTGTATCAAATTCAGAGGTGTAAGCAGCAATTATCTGTGAAATGCAGCTCTTTTCCAGCATGTTCTGCAGCTTTGTCCTCTCTCAAAGTCACACACGTTCATTCTCCCTTCAGTTATGTTGACACATATATTTGATTTGTTGACATTTTTGATTTCTGGATTAAAACTGGCACTACCAGTTTAATTTGGCTTTACTGCATGGAGTTGTTGACAAACTAATAGTGCAAAGACTAAGTGCTGAAAATCTGTTCATTAAAACTGTAATTATTTTTAATAATGCACGTGTCCATTTACAGTGAACCAAGAGATGAAGTAAACAAAGAAACTTATGAAATTTATGTGAACTCAGACACATTTTAGGCCTGATTTCAGAGATTGTCATGTTACAAAATTTTATTACACTATTGTTCAAATGTTTAGGGTTAGTTAAATAACATTATTATAATTATTAACTGTAATAATAATAATAATAATATATAATTTCTATATGGCTTAGTCCTTTATTTATCAGGGGTCGCCACAGCGGAATGAACCGCCAACTTTTCAAGGATATGTTTTACACAGCGGATGCCCCTCCAGCTGCAGCCCAGTACTGGGAAACACCCATACACTCTCAAATTCGCACTGCAGCCAATTTAGTTTATTCAATTTACCTGTACCACATGTCTTTAATCTGTGGGGGAAACAGGAGCACCAGGAGGAACCAGGAGGAACCAGGAGGAACCCCACGCGAACACGGGGAGATCACGGTGTCGCCAAAATGAATCATTTAGTTAGCAAATAAGCAAGTGATTTAAAGTGACAGTACAATCTTAGATAGTAAATAAATCAACCTCCAAATAAATATTTTTTATATTATTATTTAATATATTTATTTAGTTATTTTGACAAAACGTTATCACAGTTTTGATGAAAATATAAAGCAGCACAACTTTTTTGCACACTGATAATATAAAAATATTTTTAGGAACCAAAATAGTGTTAGAAATCATTCATTTATTCATTCTCCTTTGGTTTGGTCTCTTTATTCATTAGGGGTCGCCACAGTGGAATGAACCACCAACTTATCCAGCATGTTTTACACAGCGTATGCCCTTCCAGCTGCAACCCAGTACTGGGAAACACTCTCACATTATCACTTATATACTACAGCCAATTTAGTTTTTTTAATTCACCTGTACCGCATGTCTTTGGACTGAGGGGGAAACAGGAGCACCCGGAGGAAACCCACGCGAACACAGGAGAACAATCAATATATATATATATATATATATATATATATATATATATATATATATATATATATATATATATATATATATATATATTTATTTATTTCTTATTATCAAAAAAACAAATAATTTAATTAACGAAGAAGCATTGGGGTGATTTAAAGTGACAAACTTGACTAGTAAAAAAATTTACTCCAAATAAATATTATTTATATTAGTATTTAAAATATTTATTATTTAGTTATTTCGACAAAACGGTATCACAGTTTTGACCAAAATATAAAGCGGCGACGCAGTGGCGCAGTAGGTAGTGCTGTCACCTCATAGCAAGAAGGTCGAGTTTGCATGTTCTCGCTGCGTTCACGTGGGTTTCCTTCGGGTGCTCCGGTTTCCCCCACAGTCCAAAGACATGCGGTACAGGTGAATTGGGAAGGCTAAATTGACCGTAGTGTATAAGTGTCTGTGTGTGTGTATGTGGATGTTTCCCAGAGATGGGTTGTGGCTGGAAGGGCATCCGCTGCGTAAAAACGTGCTGGATAAGTTGGCGGTTCATTACGCTATGTCGACCGCATGTTAATAAAGGGACTAAGCCAAAAAGATATTGAATTAATGAATGAATAATGCAGTCTTGGTGAAGGTGAGAAACTGCTTCTAAATAAATACTTGAAAGAAGTGACAGTAATATGCTAAGATTTTGGGAGGTGTAAACATTGGAAAAAAAACCCAGACACCTAAGTAAAAGCATTGTGGCAACTGTTTAGAGCTTCTATATTTTGCATAAAAGCCTTTTGTATCAAAATACTTGCTTCCGATATCGCCTAATCACACCTACGCTGATAAAAAACACATTAATTTTTTCTATATAAAGATATGGTCACTGCTATATTATGGATCCCCAATTAGAACTAGCTTGTAAAGTTAAGATAAGAAACCTACAAATACAAAGTAAAGAAGCTTCCATTTACCTGCATTAGGCTCATCCATGGAGAAGGCCTTATTCTCCATAAATATATTCTGTGCGCTTTGCTCCTTCAGCATGTTCTCGTACCCTCTGCTTGGGTACATGTCTTCTGCAACAGGTTCATCTTCCCCTTCCTCACTTAGGCTACACACCGCCGGCACCGTGTGGAGCAGCAGAAAAACCCATGCGTTAGACACCAACGCTATCGCCAATGTAGGGTCGTCCCACGTCGGTCCACCATTTTTTGCATTCCCGGACACATACATGACAATCCACGCCACCCAGATGCCCACAGAAAGCAGTCCTGTGACCAGAATGAGGGCTCCGTCTTTGCGCCATTGCTTGTGTTTGCCTGCCATTATGGGTACGGATGCTACTACGACTGCTAACAGTAGGTTTAAGACGTATATTAGCGCCATAACAAAATCCTGATTGCCAATGTTACAGGGAATGGCTAATACAGGAGCAATGGTTCCGGTTATGTTAACTGGGTATCGTACAATCGTAATGATTAGCCATTCAGTGTTGATGACTACTTCCACCAACCAGAGTCCTAGAGCGCCCAAACACCAAACCCAACCTCTCGGCCCCGAGTTCCTCCTGGCTAATATGTTCAACCTTACGGCTTGCATAAGAAGGCATGAGAAGCATCCGGCGAATAACACCCCAAACAAAAAGCGACGAGACGCGCAAGTGGCGAAGTTCTTCCCAACGATAAAGGCGAATGTGAGGGCGAACAGGCCAAATGTGAAGATCAGAAAAACCGTGTGAAGTCCAAACGAACTGCGCCAATTCTTGCTGTTGATGAAGGGAAGGCTGGCCAGCAGGACAATAAGAAGAATCAAAGAAGCCACCAAACCTGCAGCCGCAAACGCCTCGACTACTACACCCCAGACTGCACTGAGGTCACATAAGTTAAAATACAAGGAGTCCATGTTGGTTCCACAACCTCTGGGGATTGAGGTTTGGGCCAGAGATCCAGGCAGGACACATAACGCAATAAAGAGCAGATGAAAACAGTGGGATATGGAGATGAAGTTATCCATGGTTGCCAGCACCTAAGATCAGAGAGGAGAGCAAGTATGAGCATGCAGGTAAAGAGTTACGAGGAGATACTGAGTGACATTGAGTGAAATAAAACTCCCTTTACACACCCTCGGTGGGAGTGACAGCAACATCAAAACAGCAGCAATATCACACAGCTATTAAAATGTCATTCCTCATGCTCTTGAAGAGTGGCCCATCCTGGCTATTAGGCTATCTCTCTCTAGGTGTGGTCTCAGACATTTATATATATAGGCATGAATTATATCATTTATATAAAAGATTATATAACTTTAAGTTACACAACCACTCAAATGTTTGAGGTAAGTAACATTATTTATTTACTAATAAGTGTATTTCTTATTGGAGTGATAATTTGTGATTTTCAGCACACACACACACACACAAAAACTGTATTTTTTAAGTCTTGTGACCATACATTTTTGAATGCTAGAATATATGAACTACACTATTTTCTAGCTGTACTTAGATTTACAAACTACTGTACATTTCATGTTTTGATTAACAAACATATTTCTGCTTTTTCAGAAAAAAAATTGTATGATTAAAAACAATTATTAAACTGCCTCAAAGGATTTGTTCTTTACAAATTAAATACTAAATCCCGAGTGACAGAAACTCGTTAACATGCCGTTCTAAACATGTATGACTTTCGTTCCTCTTTAAACGCAAAAATATTTGTAAGCAAATATAAGAAATCCATCCCTCCACTTAAATTCTGATCAAATTAAACTAAATGAACTGAACAGTTAGTCTTCTGATGAGCCGCTAGTGTTATATATAATATTAGGGCTGGCGATTTGGCCTAAAATCAAAATCTGCATTAATTGAACATTTTAACTCGATTACAATTAATGAATGATTATTTTATGTATTTATTTTTTGCCCTTATAGTTCACCGACAAGTTTTGTACAGTTAATATGTTCACATTTTAGCAGTGAGAGATTTTTTATCGAAGGATCCATTAATTGATTTTAAAATAATAGAAGGACACACACTATCTACAGTCTATGATTGTTTTTTGAACATCAACGTTGAACAACTGAAATTAATCAAAACGCTTGTCACCGATATTAAACCGACCAATTACAAAGCCTGCACTATGCATCGTTGCGACATGCAGTTATATTTTTTAAGAGGATGCGATCGCAAAAAAGCTATGGCAGACCATACGCTTACGCTCAACGCAGAAGTATAAATCAGTCTTAAGAATGAGGTCACGTGACTTCACACGAGATATGGAAAATAATTGGGAAAAAATTTATTAATTAATCAACCTAAAAAAATGGAATCAATTTTAGGTTATGAATGTCGATTTCGATTACTTTCTGATTAATCGCTCAGCCCTTATATAACGATCAGATTTTATCTAGTCTTTCATTATAAACATTGATCAATGATGAAAATTTGATTATTTCACTTCAGACATGCTTGCTTGATGTGAAAGAACCTTTGAGATTTGGTGCTGGAGGGGGCTTTGGGTGGGGGGTGAAATTAAAGGAGTTTTCCAGGAGAAATAACAAAACAAGAGGGTGGCGGGAGATGGATCTGAAACACGGGAGACTCCTTGACAAAACAGGAGCGTTGGCAGGTATGGCTTGGTCTGATAATACATTGCAAATGTTTTTATAAACTCATTTTAATTTACAAAGTCATGTGTGGCTTTAGAAATTTAAAGGCACTATCCAAGCAGTGATGTTCAAAAAATGTTAATGGCATTAAAAAAACTGCTTGAGATGTTTCACCCTGCTGTTTCAGTAAAATTTACATAAACACATTAAATAAAGCTGCAAGTTTTAAGGCACTTCAGGGGACATTTAACACATTAATCATTGATAGGAGAAATTCCTTCACTTGGAGCTCAGCCAGATCTGCCCGTTATTCATTAATCACTCTTTTTAAAAAAACGTGAGACTGACTTAGTTTTATTTTCAAAACCTTTAAAAATTAACCACATAGTAAAGATTAATTAACTTCTGCACGCTTAGTACACATTTTTAGGTTTCAACTGCATTACAAGGTGTTCTTCTATTACTATTAACTGTATCCAGAATAAAATGGGAGCTGAAATGTTTTTATTTAAATAAAAATGATTAGATTTTCCTTATAAATAAGGACTAAAAAGGTTACAATATGGTTCAATTAAAAAAATTTGGTACAAAGTAAAACAAATCCTCTACAAGTCTTCAAAGCTTAATTTGACATAGCTCAATAGCCTTGTTTGTAAGAAAGGTACATACAGTAACACTTTACAATAAGGTTCCATTAGTTAATGTTAGTTAATGTATTTACTAGGATAAACAATATGTTTATTACAGTATGTATTATTCATCCTTGCTAACATTAGTTAATTGAATAATAAAGTCATTTTTGTTAGTTCTCACAGTGCATTAACTAATGCTTACAACTAGGACTGCACAACATATCGTTTCAGCATCAATGTTGCAATGGGATCATTCGCAATAGTCACATCACGAATATTTGCAACGTTGAGTCTGGATTATAATTCATAATTTTGCAAGTGTTTTTGAGCCCTGCAACCGTGTGAGGGTTTTAAAAGCATTCATAAAAAAAACTTACCGTTTGTGACTTAAAAAAATTTATAACAATTTATTTTAACGAATAAGGTATGTAAAAGGAATTGAATTTAATGAATTGTTTATAAAACGAAGATTAGGCAGTATTATTTTACATTTGTTTATTCAATTACTGTATACCTAAATACATTCAGACTCTTAGGAAAACAATAAAACACTGTTTATTTAATTTGCATTATTTTCTTTATTAAATTTATCTATGCTTGTACATTGTTTATTACATGTTATGCACTCCCCTACAGAATCTTCCCAATTGATATTAAATTATAGATTCTTTACAAACTTTTATTCAACTCATCAAGTGAAATTGTATTCATATCGCAATATATAATTGCAGAATAAAAAGAGATATCGCAATTTTTCCAATATCATGTACCCCTACTTACAACTGTATTTAGATTTTGATGATATATAAGCATTGTTCATTCTTGGTTCATACATTAACTCCTGGAACCTGATTGTAAAGTGTGAGCATAAAAGCAAACACCACCTACATACGTTTTCCCATTGTAAAGATTGATCACACTGAAACAAATTCCACTGAATGCAAACACAATCTCATCACAACCAGAACTGAAACCGTTTGATGAATCTGTTCCTTGTTAACAGGTTGTGTCTACTTAATCACATTCAACTGATCTGATTACAAAATCAATATTTTCCCTCAGGTTTCAGTTTTTGCTTTACTGAAGTCAGTCATTCTTTCTTGTATTTGTATTTGTTTGACTCTTGCTGTGGAAAAACTGTAAGTAACAGCATTAGCACTGGCATAAAAGGTAGCTGATCTGATAAATACCAGCGCCCTAAAAATAAATATAGCACAACATTCAAGGTCTGGGAGTTGTTCACCTGCTGGATGGTTAAAACTCTCTCAAACAGAAGTTTGGAGTGTTACGTTTCTCATATTCTAACATTGATATTAACAATATGCTGATTTATTAAACATTCAACAAGCTTTCTCTTAAATGACATTCAAAACTAGATACAAAAGTGCAGGTCATTTACCTAAAAGTAATAATTTCAGTTCATTCACATATAAAGCTATACAATCTTTTACTGCGTCATAAGACAATGCAATAAACTGCAAAATTGGTGAATAAACCCCAGTAGAACTTGGCAACACATTATCTAATCAGTACATGATTAACAACCGATTGTACTATGATTGCATTTTAATTGATCCTTTTAAGTAGTATATGGTAGTAGTAAGTAGTAGTAACTTTGTCTTAGAATAACACCTACTTTTAATGATATTCTAAATGTGTACAGTATATTATGTTTAGTTCATTATAAGCAGATCATGAGAAAAAATAACATTTAAAAATACATATTATTTTTACACTTTAATTGCAAATAGAAAAAGGTATAGCCTGACTGAAAAGGATGAAACCAGAAACAATAAGTGTTAGAATTCTCTTTAACTTAATTTGCATGGTATAGATGACGAGTTTAGAAGACTAAACAGCATTATAAAATGTAACAGATGCTAAGTGACATTACATTTTCCAACTTAGCCTACATTTTCATAAATACTATGAATTTCTTCAAGATTAAATGCATTTTTGTCATTTCACTAGGCTTTTAAATTTAAAAATACAATCATATCAATAATCATAACATTGGATGGCACTATCGTAATGGCACCTAATGAGCTATTAACAGTGAAATAGTTTATTTTTTTGGAAACTGCTTGCATCTTCTAGAAATTTCTAACAATTTATGATGAAGAAGTATATTTTACATAAGAGTTTATTTTCTACAAAACATATCTATCTATCTATCTATCTATCTATCTATCTATCTATCTATCTATCTATCTATCTATCTATCTATCTATCTATCTATCTATCTATCTATCTATCAAACATTATAAACTGTAACAGATGCTAAGAGACCTGACATTTTCCAACTTAGCCTATATTTTCATTATTAGTATGAATTTCTGCAAAATTAAATGTATTTTTGTTCATTTCATTTGGGCTTTTTGCAATTGAGTTTTAAAAATACAATTATATTAACAACCATAACACTGGATGACATCAGGTAAAATAATAAACAAGGGGAAAAGGAAATTTAATTAAAAGAGAAAAAAATATATATACTAAAATAAAATAATAATAAAAAAATTATACAGAGGCAGAATTATCAAATTAAATAATATTTACAAATTTCCTATAGAATTTCGGTTTTTACACTTTTTTTTACTATAAACATTTTGTAATGTAGTAATTAAACAATTTAAGTCACATAAAAATTCTGCAAAATATGTAATTAAAACATGTACATTTTTGAATATAATATGTACCCATTCAGATAAATGAAATGCCTATAAATTCTGTTATGTTTGTCATGAGAAAAGTACCAAATTATATCACACATAGAAAAATGTTAATTTTGATGTAAACAAATCAGACCAAAACACTTTAATATGTGGGCATTTAACAAAAAGAAGATCAATCGATTCGATACTTGAGTTACTAAAAACACAATTTGAGTTAGGGTCACCAAATTTAGATATTTCATTAGGCTCTATCCATCCAAATCCATGCAGTAGTTACGCAACGTACTCATTTTTGACATACAGTCATTTTGACCAATCATACCATGGACTTTGCTACAACGCACCAATCAGAGAACAGAACATGCAGACGTTTGTGTTTGTGACCGACTGGGCGTCGCACCTGAGCAGGTGAACAAAGATTATCTTTATTACTCAAATATAACGGGATTATTTAAAAGGTAAGGGAGAATTTGAGCTTGTTATCTGCATAGAGTCTGTAATAAAACATTTGCAGAAACTTTCAAAACAAAAGATGTTATAAACATCTAAATAATCGACATTTTTACCAACGCATTTATAAACAAACCAAAAAAAAATTCATGTGAAGTTTATTTATTCGATTAAAGCCCACAGTACATAATTACTGTCAATAAAGCACAACAAAACAATACAATAAGTCATAAAACAAAACATGAGCTACTGTGTACAAAATCCGTTTACACAATCACAGAGATGCACAGGAAAATAACAAAAATACACTCACCTTTTGTAGTCAGGGGTAGATTCTGTGTAAACTCTCTAGTACTCTTTGGTATACGATTGATTTACCTTTTCCAGCAAGTGCATGCAAATAAATAAGACATCGCGACGCCAAAATGTGCCAGAGAGCTAAGTTGAGGTATTAAACCCTGAAACAACAATGTTCCCTTTGTATTCCAGGCAAACAAACCTTCAAAAAACCTCAAGGATAGTCGGGGGCAAACACTTGGCGAGTTTTGATAGCTTTCAGCCGCCAATGATGTGACTCAAACTCTCAGTTTCTCTTGCGAGCGCGCTCGACCAAGCCTTTACGTTTCGTTGTCGGGTGCGCGCCTGGTTTCACCACCTGGAAAAAAACTGAGAAGAAAAAAAACGCCATCGTAGTGGCACCTAGTGAGCTATTAACGGTGTAGCATAGTAAGTTTTCTGGAAACTGCATGTATTTTCTAGAAATTTCTACAATTAATGACGGAGAAATCTACTTTACATCAAGGTTTATTTTCTACAAAATCTATCTGTCTATCTGTCTATCTATTGTGATTTGAGGCCTCAATGCGCTGCATAACTGCTCTTCCTAAACAGCGGCCTACACAGGTACTGTACACCGAACAATGGCTTTTTTCTTTGCTCCTTTATTGGCCTAAAATGACATAAAAAGACTGTCAGAGCTTTTCAACTACTCAGGGCAAAAATAATACCCTAACTGAGTTTTCCATAGCAAAGTTTGTTTATTTAAAATGGCGTCAAACTATTATTATAAATCTCTTAAAGCTCTCGGCCATATTACTAATTTATACTAATACTATTACTTCTACATTTACAGCAGAAAGGTAACAGGGTCAAAACTTAATCCTGTGGGAGTTATGTTTCTAAAAGTTTGTATACAACGCCATCTAGGGGTAAATTGTTATGTAATCATAGCATTTCTTTCAAGTCTTTAGAGAAGAGAGTGATGGGAAGGGGTTGGGGCAAATGCCTTTAACAGAGATTTTCCTTTCTAATTTCACACAACCTTGTTTTTGTTTGTTTGTTCGTTTAATTGCTCATACACACACAAAAAAATCTTTTTATCAAATTTTCTAAAATGTGAATACAGGGTGTCCGTGAGGTCTTAAAAACTCTTAAAACGTCTTAAATCTCAAAAGCTAAATGTTAGGCTTTAAAAAGTCTAAAATCTACTGAAATGTTGTGTTGTAAGTCTTGAATTATTTTTCTTAATTTTCCTGTTATTTTTTTCTTAATTCTGTTTTTATTGTAGACTGAATTGACTCTATGTTCTGTTCTATTCTTGGTAAAGGTTAAAGAATTTGTAAACGGATATATTTGAAAATTGATAAAAAATATTCAAAAATGATTATTGAAAAAACAAAATTGTTGTTATTGTATTATTAAATGTATTACATTTTTTTAAATCATTTTTGATAGGGCAAGTGAAAATCTTTTTTTACTGGGATATTTGAAAAAAAAAATCCTTGTTTCATAATGCTTTTAAAAAGGTCTTAAAAATTTAACATAGGCGAGGTAATCAAGGCAAAAACTGGTCTTCCACTGAACTTCTGTTATAAATGGGATATTTTTGGTTTTTAATATAGTAAGTTTGTTATAATATGTAAAAAAAAAAAAAAAAAAAAAAAAATATATATATATATATATATATATATATATATATATATATATATATATATATATATATATATATATATATATATACTCTATTAGCTAATATAAAGCAATGTTTTCTAGTTTTGTTTTAAAATAAGCTTCTCCTGCTCACCAAGGCTGCTTTTTTAATCAAAAACACAGTACAAATTGTAAAATTGTAAAATGTTATTGCACTATAAAATAACTGTTCAAAAGTAGTTTATAAATTAATTTAATAATTTATTTCAGTGTTTTTTAAGATGAATTTTCAGCTTCATTACTCCAGTCTTCAGAGTCACATGATCCTTCAGAAAACACTCTTATATAATAAAAAAAAAAAAAAAAAAAAAAAAAAATAATAATAATAATAATAATTATTATTATTATTAATGGTAATAAAAGCAATAATGACTGGAGTAATAATTTCATTTGAAACTACATACAATAAATTTTATTAAATTTATCAATTTAACTATTTAAAAACCTTTTAAATAGACAATTAACTATTTTAACCCCACACTTTTGACCGGTAGTGTAACTAAGGAGATTACCCATGGCAACTTTAACGTAATACAGTATGGTGTATACCTTTAGCCCACCACCACACTCAATCAAGTTTGCTTTTTGGCCCTTGATAAGAAAATGTGTGGGTACCCCTGCATTAAACGGACAGTTCACCCACAAATTTAAATTCTGTCTTCATTAACCATCCTCCACATTTTCATATTTTTTTCTGCTGACCAACCTGGGGCCACCATAAGCTCCTTATTTTACTATTACAGCCTATTTAAATGTATTTTGCTTAATATAGCCTTCTGTCTTATTTGCATGGTTATAATATGTAGGCTTACTCTGTAGTGAACATTGTTCATATCTGTTAGATTATGTTTATGAGGTTTTTAAGGTAGAGAGTTAACAGACTCATTGTTTCTTTTCCTGTCTGGTGTGAGGGGTGAACTTGTTCTGCTCACATAACAGGATATTGTAGTTATTTCACAGTGTTTTCTTTCCCAGTTTGACACCAAGAAGGAAAGATAAAATTCTCAACATGCATCACATTTTTTCGTTTTGTTTTATAGGCTATATATCCTGACTGTTTCGATCACTGAAATGCAACTTCATTTTAGTTTTCAGTGTTTTATTTTTTTAAAGCATCCAAGACACAAATAGATCCTTATTGATGATGATCAAAATTGAACAATTGATCAGTCAAGTGCACATATTCAATTACACAACAAAATGGCATCTTTGGGTGTCACGATTTTGTACACCATGAACAACAACAACAATGCAACTTTTTAAAAGAGATGCATCATGCATGTGCCACATGCTATTGTGTGGGGATATCTGTAAAATTCAGCATTCATCCTCTCTTATACTGAACTTAAATATAGTTTTATTTCACATTGGATGGCAAAAAAGTCACATCATTAATTACGATAAATTTTTCAAGAATTATTCATTCTTTGGTGCAGGATTCAGGGGACCCATTGCGCCTCTATTTATGTAAATTATGTCCCTAGAGTGTGTACTGTATGTGAAATTTCAGCTCAAAATACCACACATAATTATTTATAACTCTTTGAAACTGCCCCTTTTACGCTTTGATTCAAATTGTGCTGCTTTGGTGACTGTCGCTTTAAATTCAAATGAGATTGTAACGCAGTTCTCTTTTTAAAAGAAGGCGGAGCTACAAAAATCTATTGCTGGGTCCCAAATGACACACTATACTATTCACTTATGCACTATGTACTTATGCACTTAAACACTCAACAGCATAGTACTGTATATGCATGTAGTGTCGTCCCAAATGGAACACTAATGGTTTTTTTACTCAGCAGAAATTTTAACTGTTTCCGTGATGATGTTTGACGGTTGTCAAATCAGTGAAATAAATGACCGAACAATACCATGCATGCGTGTAACTGCATTCTCAATCGGCAGGCGTTATAATCACTCTCGTAGGATAATTTTGCTTTCACAATTCAAAATAAAGTGATCCAACATGAGCACCCGGAAGCTCCACCACTTTCGTTATGTGAGCAAAGCTGCGACTATTAAGTGTGTGAAGTGTTCAACATTTATTATTTTAGGAGTTTTAGTGTGGACGCACTACTTACACTATTAATTCTACAAAATGTTGTAGAAAAGTGGATAAGTATGCAATTTGTGACAGATCTTGTGTTTTAGCATAGCAGCAGATTTAAAACTCAATTCAAAAGTAATGGCAAACAGCTGCTTCTCACTCAGAGCTGTCTATGCTATTGAGGGAGAGATGTCACTAATGGGCTGGGCTTTCCCCCTCTGATGACAAGCACAAAGAGAGAATGTCAGTCAGTGTTTTTGCATACTGTTTTTGCGATCATAAAAATAATTAATTTATTAATTTTTACCATTATGTACTGGTTATAGTCACACACTGCCACACAACTGTGTTTAAACTTATTATAAAAGGGATTTTTGCATAATAGGTCCCCTTTAATCAAAAGCAGAAGTAATCATTATAATAATAAAAAGCATCAAAATGTAATTTGACTAAGGTTACCTCTGCCATAGACAACTTATTTATACACTCCTACTGTAATATCTGCATTAATGTAAACATATTTTAATATTTTTTATATTTGTTATTAATTAGTATGTACTGCATTGTGTTCCTGCTAGACAACATTTCCTTCATACTTCGTTAAATTTCTATTTTTAATAAGAAGCTATACAATATTATATTTGTGCATATACATTAGATTAGTCAGTGCTCAAGCCAAATCTGGAGTTTATCTAACAAAATAACTTACAATAACGGTCCAAAAACTAGTACACCCAAATTTTAATAAAATATTTTGCTTGAATTTAATTGTATTATCTTACAGTTTCTAAATCTGTTTGGTGACGAAAATATCATTTTCATAAATATATGTGTTTATTAAATGTGTTTTGTTTAAATTCACCAAAATACATTGTGTATTTGCCATAAAGTTTGTCAGGATACAGGGTTGTGAATGTCATTTCTTGTAGACCTGAACAAACAATATGGGTAAAGCAGCAAAATGTATACGGTACATAGGAAACTACACAAGACCCCTATCTAAAGCTGACATCAAACAGAGCAGGTTATTTATTGTCTCAAAAATGTAGAGACTCTTTTTTTGTGCTGTCAGCAGTCTGCTCATATTAAGGCTTTAACGATAGATGTCTTTTCTTCTCAGGCGTCTGTGTTTGTGATACAACGGGAGACTTTTTTCAAAGAGGCAACATCTGATAACATCTGCAGGACCACAGGCTCCCTCTCACGATCGAGAAGAAACAGAGAGAGCTAGAAAGAAAAAGAAAAAAGGAAAGAGAGAGAGAGAGAGAGAGAGAGAGAGAGAGAGAGAGAGAGAGAGAGAGAGAGAGAGAGAGGATGCAGCACAAGTGCACTAAAAGGACAAGAGAAGAGTTCATAATGAAAGCTCTGGAAACCAAGTGAGTTTTTTTTTTATTTATTTAAAAAGGTAAAAAATTGTCCTCTATAATTTAGCAGAATAATTAAATCAAAGCTTTTAACATGCCTTTTATTAAAGAGCATTGTTCATTAAATTATTAGTCCATCAAAACACATTTACATACAGCGTTCGAAAATAATTAGTGAACACGTCATGTTTTTCCTGGGAATAATATACTCTAAAGGAGCTGTTGACTTGGAATTGAACCAGATTTTGGTAAAAACACAAACAATAAAAAAAACATAAAAATAAAACAAGCCCAAAAAACAATGTAATGACACAAGGAGAAAGCACTGAACTACTGAAATGTATTGAATACTTTAAATAAAAAGGTTTTTTTGGTGATGGCAGCTTAAAGACGCCTCTCATGTGGAGAACAAAGTCACATGCTTTGTTCAGGTTGGAGTTTTTCCACAGACTTCAATAGTGTACAAATCTTGATGGTTCTGTGGGTCTGGTTCATCAAATTATATTAGATTTTATATTGGATTGAAGTCAGGTGATTGGCTGGGCCATTCTACAGCTTTATTTTCTTTCTCTGAAAGTATTTGAGAGTTTCCTTGGCTGTGTTTTGGATTATTGTCTTGCTGAAATGTCCACTCCATGGTTTCATCTTCATCACCCTGATAATGTAGATGTTGGACTGAAGCAGCTAGTATTTATTTACACTGATGAAGGTCAGAGGGTTGCTGAAGAACTACTAAGAGATTTCAGCTGCTGTCTGGGCTTTCACTGCCTTTTTGCACCTTCCTTTCTTCATGAGTTCAATACTTTTCCCCTGTGTCATTTCATTTTATTACACATAACTTCATTTATACTAATTATTAGATTTGTTTATATATCTGGGTTTCTTTAGTTGTTATCAACATCTTGGGAAAATTTCAAGTCAATAGCACCTTTAGAAATGTCTTTAAAAAAATGGTGACGTGTTCAATACTTGTTTTCCCTGCGGTATCATATGTAAAGTAAAAAACTAATTTAATTGCTTCATACAGTCTCTGTTATCATATTTACTCAAAATAAATCTGTCAGGAATATTAAAACTGAATGCACAGTTTTGTAAGTGAAAAAACAGCAACATTTTAAGGATGCTTGTCAGGTGTGCAGCTGAAAACTGCTTCATCTGCATCACATCCCATTTTACTTTGCATTAAGGTTGAGCTTGTCTTTGTAAAGATCCGAATCTGTTTTCTTTAAGTACAAGCTGCCAAGTGCTTCACTATATCTGATCAGATAACAAATTACAGAGTCATATAATTGACCCCCAGAGCCAACAAATGGAAATTTTTGCTGTTACTTTATGGGCTGGCTTTGTTCAGCAGACCTTGAGCTCCTCGGATCAGTCTGTTTGTACAGTGGTGTCTTTGCTCACTGTGTTCCCACGTCGAAGCCCCTTTTAAAGCCCCATCCAGTCGCCATGCACTGAAAATAAACAGCTGACCGCACTTTTGCACACCGGGGTTAAAAAGGTCTACCATCTCTGCTTCACTGCATGGGCTTTGAAAGGTTTCATTTAGTCATGCAAAATAACCTGTAAGAAAACGAGGACGTTTTGTGACCATGTCTTATGTTTGATGAGGAAAAGAATATACAAAAGATATTCATGAGGAAAATTGTTGAGTGTACCTTGGATTCAGTTGTGTGGTTTATTTTTTAGGATGGCCTCAGAAGCTGGCTATTTATTTGGCTTCTGTTTTATACAAGAGAATGACAGATCACAATATTCATTAACCAGCAATGAAATAAAAGTGAATAAAATGTGAATAAAAGAAAAAAAGAAAAGGGAACACTATTGTAAGCGTTCAGATGACTTCATTCATCTGCAATATTTATAAAAACCCTAATTACATGACACATATCCTTGCAATATCAAAATACAACATTTAAACAGAATAGTTAGCCAAAACAATAAATAATAAGTCATCTGTGTATTTTTATGTCGGTAACACTTTACAATAAGGTTAATTAGTTAATGCATTTACTAACATGAACTAATCATGAACAACACTTGTACAGCATTTATTAATCATAATTAAACATTTACTAATGCATTATTTACATCCAAACTCATGCTTGTTAACATTAGTTAATGCACCCTGAGTTAACGAACTCGCAATGAACAACTGTATTTTCATTAACTAATGTTAACTAACATGAACAAATACTGTAGTAAATGTATTGTTCATTGTTTGTTCATGTTAGTAAATGCATTAAGTAACATTAACTAATGAACCTTATTGTAAAGTGTGACCCTTATGTCAAATTAAACTTGTTTGACTTTTTCCAAAATTTTTAAGTTAAATGTGAAATTTGATGTCTGGACCACTCTTCTTCTTTTAATGCAAGTGCGACATTGTCCTAATTATAAACACCATATGTTAGGTGAAATATTTTATAAAAAGCATAAAGATGTCCTATTTTAATGAGTGAATGTTCACAGAAGCATATCACTCTTCAATGGCTTTATAAAACATGGAATAAATGGTTTAGGATCATTTTAATGCTGCGTTTGTTACTAGGGTGCTTGCTGCTGTATGTTGTCATTTATATTATTTATAATGGAAGAAAGGTTTCCATATTTCTGTTTTTGGCAGAGGTATTATAAAATGTTTGGAATGGCACAATGGCGTATAAATGATGACAGAAAAATCATATTTCAACCTGTTCCTCCATTTATGGAAAATGACCAGACATAACACTTATTTATTGAGCCAAATATCTTTGTTTCAAAAAAGACAGGGCAATAAATAACACAAATATGCAGATCAGTGCAATCACACTTTTTATGTATGTCTATTGATGGGAAGTTGTCCATTATGTCCTGTAAACTTTACTTGTATGGAGCATTTGTTTAATGACTGTAAACTGTGCAAACCATTCAGATTAATAGTACCTGCAATGCATATTAGCATGAATTGATGGCAGACATTTTATTATCTGGATATTTTAAAATGGGTAAAATTAATACTTTTAAAATATTCTATTTTGTTTGTTGACACCAGTAATGCTAAATAAAACACATTTACCATTGCACATTTACCATTACCATTGAGAAATTGTGGCCAAAATCCAAAATCTATTTACTCATCCTCAAGTGGTTCATAGCTTTTATGAGTTTCATTTTTTTTCTGTTTAACACAAAATAAGTTTAGCAAATAAGCAAATAAGTAATGAAGAATGTTTAAAAACTGTAACAAATACTATGGTAGTCAACCAATACAGGTTTGTAACATTTTTTTAAAATTACTTTTGTTGTGTTGAACAGAAAAAGGAACTCAAACAGGTTTGTGACAACTGAAAGCATTTTCATTTTTGAGTGAACTATCCCTTGAAATGCAAGCAGTAATTTGCTGGCTTCAATAAACTTAATGGCCACTGGTGTCGCAAATTACAAAGTTTTCTGAATTTAAGTGTATCTTAAAGACGGGGGTGTAAGATGAAGGGGCGTAACAGTACAATGTACAACACAGTACAAACATGTCAAGTATGAAATCCTCCGCAACTCGTGGCTGTACGTTAAAAACTGTAATGGTTGAGTTTTGGGTTGTGGTAGGTGTAGACATTAATAACTGTGATGGTTGAGTTTAGGATTAGAGAAGGTGTAGACGTTAATTACTGTGATGGTTGGGTTTAGGGTTGTGGTAGGTGTAGACATTAATAACTGTGATGGTTGAGTTTAGGATTAGGGAAGGTGTAGACGTTAATTACTGTGATGGTTCGGTTTAGGGTTGTGGTAGGTGTAGACATTAATAACTGTGATGGTTGGGTTTAAGGTTGTGGTTTGTGTAGACGTCAATAACTATGATGGTTGGGTTTAGGGTTAGTGAAGGAATAGACGTTAATAACAGTGATGGTTGGGTTTAGGGTTTTGGTAGGTGTAGACGTTAATAACTAAGATGGTTGAGTTTAGGTTTGGGGAAGGTGTGGACGTTAACAATGATGATGGTTGGGTTTAGGGTTGTGTTAGGTATAGATGTCAATACTATGATGGTTGGGTTTAGGTTTGGGGAAGGTGTGGACATTAACAAGGTTGATGGTTGGGTTTAAGGTTGTGGTAGGCATAGACGTTAATAACTGATGGTTGGGTTTAACTGTGATTGTTGGGTTTAGGTATGGAGTAGGTGTAGATGGTAAACTGATGTAAAGCGCCATCTTTCCGACAACAAACACTAGTTTTGACATGTCTACATAACATCAAGTTACGCCTCTACTGTACTACAAGTGACACCCCTATGGCCCCTTAATGTCAGGCCCCTGTCTTGCAGTCCGCAGACAGACCCTACTCGAATTTTATATAACCCATTTAACTTTTCAATCTGTAAAAACAACTAATTTGAACTCTTTTTAACATTATAATAAGGACACCATGCTTTCATTTGGGCTTAACTCATTTAACAATGCAAATATAAGGATATACTCAGGATTTCCATCTTATTCAAAACATAAAACAAGATAATCTAAAATAAAAAAGCATCAAAATAATGACGTTAAATGGAGTCTAAAACAACACCATACTTTTTTAACGTACAACCAACAAACACCAAAAAAGAAAAGGCATAATTTTAAGTAAGAGGGCAAGTAAATAATGACTTTTCATTTTGAAGTATATTACCCATTTAAGCAAGACTACATTTTGTTGTTGTCTGCCCTTTTTGGGGAAAGAGGAGTGACCTCTCGCTGGGAGCGTTTGGTGCTGGAAATAGAGGAGGTAGAGGCATTGGCAGGGGTGCGCTGATTACGTAGGGGCCGACGTGGGTGCAGTGGTGCCCCCCGAAACAACAGCACATCCCTCACGGCCGCTCTGAAGGGTTTGCTGACAAAACAGTACAGAAAGAAATTCACAGCAGTGTTTAGCATGGCTAGCATGTTGGCTAAGTCATACGCTAGATGCACCCGCCAATCGTTGTGCACCGACGTCACATAGAGATGGTAGAGCACCACTCCCGTTCGAGGCGCCCACAACACAGCAAACACAGAAGTCACTGCCAGGAGCATTGCTGTGGTTTTACCCAGCCTGCTTGGCACTGCGAGCTGTTGCCCGCTCTCATCTTGGCACATCTGCTGCCTCTGTCTCTTCCGGAGCCTCAGTATGATCAAAGAGTTCAGCACCAGGAAGATGCAGCAGGGAAGAAAGTAAATGATAGTCACGTGGGTCCAAATCAAGGCGGTATCCAGGTTGTTGGGCTCATGACTGACCCTCCACATGTCCGACCACCAGAAGAATGGCACTCCGGATGCCAGCGCCAATGTAAGCACCACTGCAATAATCCGTCTGGCTCTTGCTGGGTAGCTGATCTGCCGGTGGAGAAGTGGATGGCATAAAGCGACGTATCGGTCAACTGTAAGAGGAACGGTGGCCCAAATGGAAGCGTGATTGGCAGAAAACTCCATCATACTAACTGACCGCAGCAGCAGCACAGGTACATCTCGATGAAACACAGCCGTTTCCAACAGGAAGCCAACGAAGATGATGAAGAGCTGGCTGAGGATGTCCGAACCAGTTAGAGCAAGGAGGTACACATACAGGGCCTTCTGAGTGCGCACAACCAGCCGGTAAAGAGCCACCAACGTCAGGATGTTTACTGGGAAAAGAAGACAACTGGCATTAAGAAGGAGAAATTTTGGGGTAGAGGAGGATAGACAAGGCTTAAACAGAGAGGGAATGAGGCCAGGGAAAGGAGCAACAGAAGATGAAGATAGAAATCAAAGGCATGAAGGGAGTAGACGCAGCAGGATTGATGGGAAGTAAAAGATTAGGGGTCATATTTACAGAACATGGCGGCCTCTGAGAACCTTTGGCCTGATTTTTCCACTAAGAAAAGATTTGACTCAAGTGAATTTTAGTTGTTTTTGTTTTGCGTGTTGACAAGACAGGAGATAAGTGTATCTTAAGGGCTTTTTAAGAAGTTATGTAGAGGGTCTATTTATAGAGCAGACGTGTCTCGTTTATGCAATAAACTGGAGAATTTAACTTATTCAAAGACAATATTAACATTTTTGTTGTTTCACAATCTGTTCGGATATTTCTTTAATCAAACTTTTTGTACAATTTAAAATAAAACTACAGAAAAGCATCATTAAAACATACACTCACTGGCCACTTTATTAGGTACACCTTACTAGTACTGGGTTGTACCCTGTTTTGCCTTCAGAACTACCTTAATCCTTTGTGGCATAGATTCAACAAGGTACTGGAAATATTCCTTAGAGATTTTGGCCCATATTGACAGGATAGCATCACTCAGTTGCTGCAGATTTGTCGGCTGCACATTCATGATGCGAATCTCTCCTTCCACCACATCCCAAAGATCCTCTATTGGATTGAGATCTTGTGAGTGTGGAGGCCATTCAAATACAGTAAGCTCATTGTCATTATCAAGAAACCAGTCCGAGATGATTTACGCTTTATGACATGGCGAGTTATCCTGCTGGAAGTAGCCATCAGAAGATGAGTTCACTGTGGTCATAAAGGGATAGACATGGTAAGCAACAGTACTCAGGTAGGCTGTGGCATTAGCCCCTTTCACACAGTGATACCGGTAAATATCTGGAAAATTTCCGGAACGACATTACCAGTAAATTCAAAAAAGCGCTGTTCACACAGGCGAGGGCGTTACAGATTTTTTCAGGAAAAAACCATTCACACATCCATTCCAAAATACCGGTAAATTCTGACATCATCAACCAGAAATGACCTCTAAACGGCTGGGCTTGTATTTTTAAACATTTGACTACATTACAAACTCTGTGGATGGATCAGTATTTTGAAAAACTTCAATGAAAACATATGGAGGAACACTTTTACATGTCTGTACATGTACATGATATGTGTGTGTGCTGGGGCTCGTGGGCACACGCGACATGTCAAGCAACTGAAGGAAGCAGAGCTTGAAGGTAAACAAACAACGGCTTATCATAAGCATCTTATCAATAATTATTTACACAGCTGGCATTAAGATGAACATATAAACATTATCAGACTAACTTCTAGCAGCTAAATGTATCTGGGAAAATATTTAAAGGTTTTTATTCTCATAAACCCAGCAAACGTAAACGCGTCTGACTACTCTGATTGACTGAATCCAATTGTCTCGACCATGTCTACGTGCCTATATGCATTGAGCTGCGCCATGTGATTAGCTGATTAGAAATTTTCTCCAATGAGCAGTTAGACAGGTGTACCTAATAAAGTGGCTGGTGAGTATATATTATATATTGGTATGTATTATATATTGGCAAGATAAGTTAAGGCATACACAATTATATACAAGAAAAGAAATATCTACAGTGCTAATAGAAAATCATCATACCCTGTGAAAATCTATACCTTTACTCACATTACACCCGGCTTTCAAAAGACCTCCAGGATAAAGTTGTGAGAATACACAGGATAGGAGAAGGTTACAAAAACCTTTCATAGGCTGGAAAAGTTGAATATGATTTAATTTTAGGCTGTATTTAATTATTTCAAAGGAGTGAAAGTAATTATTTCAAAGGGGTGTGATGATTTTCTATAGGCACTGTTTATGTACTGAGAAATGTCCCACCTACAGGACAGTGCTAAATGAAAGCTTAAATGGGGTTAAAGGCAGTGGGCGAATTATACATTGACAATCGGGGGGATCAACTTTTTCGGAAGTAGTTTGGTAATACATGCTTCAGTGAATCAAGTTTATGGATATATTTAAATTACAATTAATTTATTAATAAAATGTATACATTTTTAGTGTTTTGAGGGATATTTAGTGACTATTTTAGAGGTTACTGTACATCAAACTATACAAACTATGTGTCTACTTTATCTTTTTTTCGACTACATGTAGATACAAACACTTATTTTACAAGAAACGTGTTTTGTGAATAGTTAAGATGCCTATCGGTGCTCTACAGCTACCAGTTCCAGACTGTTGAATGACATTTTTCCTAGTATTGGCCCAAATATGCATTCACAATAGTATAAACCGTTATAGGGGGGTGAAATGTATATTTATATTATACATTTTTAATTATTAATATTTAAGATATAGATCAGACAACTCCCCGCCCAATACATCTTGTTTTGATGTCCTTCAGGGGGATCAAGCGTTAATTAGGGGGGTCAGTACCCGCCTGTAATTCGCCCCTGGTTAAAGGGATGTTAAAGTGGACGGTAAAGCATAAAGTGGTGGTTCATCAAAAATGGCAAGTTATTTCAATATTTACTCACCATCATAATTTTCTCAACCCAAGCCTTAACCTTTTTTGTATATTAAAAAAGAACAAGTCTTCAAAATATATTTTGTGACCTTTAGAAGACAAAGTCATACAGATTTAGATAAACATGAGGGTGAATAAATGACAGAATTTTCATGTTTGTGATTTACAGATATCTCACTTGAGCCTCCTCATTCACACTACAGCTATAGTAAATTTTAATAGGACCAGTTCATGACTCAGTTCTGATTTATAGTAGCAGATTATAAGTGCCTTTCAATAGTCACTATTTAATTGTTATGTGTACTACTACTAACTGATATATCGATCACACTTCTTGTCCATAAGCAGTTGTCTATCTCTCCTGGGGCTGGTGTAGTAAAATGTTTGTGGACACTTAATGATTTCTTGTCTGGCCTGATATGTGTCTCACTGAAAGAGTCCACCGTGACCTCCTTCCATCGAAAGACTCAAGGTGAAGAAGATTAATTGTCCAATTACTTTATGGTCAGAATTCAAATGAAATTAAATTTTATAGGGTATTTTATGTGCAATCATTACTGAATGTAAATGAATTTTTAATTTAAACTTCTGTGACATGAAATTTAATAATAATCAGTTTGGATTTTTAATGACAGAATTAAGCATGGAACTGGAAAATCTAAGTTTTTTGGGGGGTCATTCATGAATAAAAACACAAATAATTTACTACAAATTTCCCATTTTATTCCAGTTTTTTCCCATTCCAAAAAATTATTTTCATTCCCAAATTGCATCTTGATTTTTAATTAAATTCTTCAAACATAAAACGCATTCTCAGTGCAGTTCTCACTGGTGCGCATCTCTGACCTAAAGCCCCCATATTTATAAGTATTACAATGCACATCTCATACCTGGCACTCCAACACACAACAGAGCACTGTAGTAGACGACAGGGATGTAAGCCAGCACACACTCTGACCTCTCCTGGGCGCTGCGCTCATCCTCCCGCTGGCCGGGCGTCGTGCCATTGTGCCAGTCAATCATGGCCTTTGAGTTCCTTTTGTGAAAGGAACGAGAACAGGAAGGAAACCTTAAAACCTCTTACAATGTGTGAACATGATCAAAAACTTTTGTTACTTTGAACAGCATCTGAACCGTTTTGTGTGCTGAATGTGCTTGTTACGTTAAATGTTACGTACAATCAAACAAGTGTTTTTAATTGGATTTGCATTGTTAAAGTTAAATAAACATTAAAGTACTCTAACAGTTTTACATTTATTATTCCATTCAGACAACCTCTGGGTCTGGAGGGAACACTTTTAGCTTGGCTTAGCATAAATCATAGAATCAGATTAGACTATGCATTCAATAATTCATTTATTTTCCTTAGACTTAGTCTCTGATTTATCAGAGGTAGCCACAGCGGATTAAACTGCCTACTATTCCAGCATATGTTTTAAGCAGCGGATTCCCTTCCAGCAACTACACAGTACTGGAAACACCCATACACTCTAACATTTGCATGCACAAACACACTAAGGCCAGTTTAGTTTTTTCAATTCACCTACTGTATAGCGCATGTCTTTGAACTGTAGGGGAACCCGGAACACCCGGAGGAAACCCACGCCAACACAGGGAGAACATGCAAACTCCATCCAGAAATGCCAACTGACCCAAAGCGGGACTCGAACCAGTGACCTTCTTGCTGTGAGGCGACATTAGTAACCACTGAGCCACCATGCCACCTTAGACCATTAGCATCTCGTTCATAAATTGACCAAATAGTTTCAGCAATTTTCCTATTTAAAGCTTGACTCTTCTTTAATTAGATCATGTATGAAAATTAAAAGTTGCTGTTTTCTAGGCCGTTATGGCTTGAAACAATATTTTCATTCTGGCGTAATAATTAAGGAAATTTGCTGCAATGACGCAGTGATATTATGCAGCCCCTGAAATGTAACTTCCATGTATTCCTGTTTATATAGATACAATTCAGGATCTGCACCAACGTAAATATGTTCTGAATCGTCTCTTAGATCAGTTTCCATGATAGAATTCAAGCTTTAAAAAAATTATAATTTTTGAGCGTGCTGCTAATGGTCTAATCCAATTAAAAGATTTATGCTAAGCTAAACTATAAATGCTCCTTCCAGAGCCAGAGGTCAGCTGAGTGGGTTAAAAAATGCTAAACTGTTTAACTTTAGGAGACTTGGAAAAAGGACCTTACATTTTAAAAAATGGTTTATGGCTTTAGATGGTCCAAAGAATGTAACTATGTTTAAATTAAACAATTTACTTATGTTTTTCTATTAAAACCAAAAGAGTTGTGTTGAAAAAAAAAGGAAAAAGTAAGTTTTCAAATTTAAACAGCTCGCTTAATTATAATTAATGAACGGGAGTTGTGTTGCTTCTGCAGTAGGCCTCCCAGATTTTGGTCAATAGGTTAATATCTGCACATGCACAGTTTCAAAACAATACAGGAAGGATGATTTAAACCACAACAAACGCTCTCATATGGGAATCAAAAGATGAAGATTACAGTACAAATTGAAAAAGTGTACAGAAAGTTTCCCCAATTTAAGTTTAATTACTGAATATATTAAAGCTTAATTATGAATGTTATTTTGATTGAAATAAACAACATTACATTAGCTTTATGCAGGGGTGTCCACACTCGGTCCTGGAGGGCCGGTGTCCTGAAGAGTTTAGCTCCAACCCTAATCAAACACACCTGAACAAGGTAATCAAGCTCTTACTAGATATACTAGACACTTCCAGGCAGGTGTGTTGAAGCAAGCTGGAGCTAAGATCAGCAGGACACTGGCCCTTCAGGACCAACTTTGGACACCCCTGTCTTTATGTAACTAATTTCATTCATTCATTCATTCATTTTCTTTTCGGCTTAGTTCCTTATTTATCTGGGGTCGCCACAGCGGAATAAACCACCAACTTATCCAACATGTAACTAACTGAAGTTCACTGAAATAAATATTCTGACTTTAAGGAAATTTAACTCAGTACTTGGAACCTGTTGACATAAAAAGTTAATTAAAGCCAACATATAATTTTTTGAGTGTATTTCAAATAAAAGTTGAGTGTTCCTAGTTATTTTAATTGTATTTTATGTGATAAGTTTTCAGCTCCTTAACACTCAAAATCACTCTGAATCAAATTTTTTAATTCTGTCTGGCCCGCGAATGTCTAATGCATTTTAGCATGTGATTTTACTACGCCGTGATCCTCTTACCCGGTCATTGTGTTAATGACAGAAGCAGCTTGCCCTCATAGCTTAAAAACAGTCAATTAGAGCAGATGGAACCAATGCACAGCACTCTCCCTCATTTACTTGTCTTATCTCTCCACTTTTACCTTTCCTTCTGTGTTTAACTTTGATTACTCCCATATTGCTCATATAGCTCAGTGCCAAACATGTTTATTTGCTTTCAGACCCAGTGCAGAGAGCAGAAATGATTGCTTTGCTCTGTGTATTTCCCTTTTGCGCATGACAGCATTGGGTTTTTGCGAACAACTGCTTTTATGCTTTTGTTTTTTATGGTGCAGTTCTCGTGTTGTCACTGGAATTGAACAGTGGTGTATATAAGCCATTCATTCTTTCCTCCTGGAGAATGGACAGTATGAGAGAGGGTTAATGTTGTGTGACATGATTGTCTTTATTATGGGCTGTTTTATTAACTGTCCTGCTTAGGTGGGCAAATTCACACTGTGGCTTAGGCAGAAATGATTGGTCTTCTGTCACCCTATAATTACTTCATCTGTCTTTGCCTTACTAGGAATTTATGTGAAGACCACTGTGAGTTTTCCAACACAATCTCGTACGAATCGTACGAATTAGCCACTAAACTGGCAAAACGTAAAATACTTATGTTTTCTCGTGAGATTGGGCTGGAGTTTTCAGTTTCATTCATTGCATTATTTACGAAAGTAATTTCTGGTTTAAAGAAACACTCAATTCACTCAATAAACTCATTTGTACCATTTTGACAGTATTCCATCATAAATAACTGATAAAAGAAAGCTTTAAGACAAACTTAATTTTTAATTATTCAAATTTACAAATTCTGACTGAGGAAATGAGCTGGCCAGTTTGTTATTTACCAACAGGCTAAAGTTTTTAATATCTTTTTTTAATTGGTTTTTAATATTTATATAGTTTGAACATATCCCTAATTGTTTTTGTTAATGATGCATGCTAATGAATGTGTATTTTAAAAATAAGCATTTTTCATACGTCTTTTTTCAAAATGTGAAATTTAAAATTCTAATCTCATTACATTATTTATCAAACTGTAATAAATTACAGTTTAAACGCACATAAATAAACAATAAACACTTTGTGGTAAATTAGTATGGTAAGCACTTTGACAAAATTGTAGGAAATATTTTTGCTGCATCAAAATATGTGGTTAAAAATCTTGTCTGCAAAATTGTTGCAAACTATTTATTTGTGTTGAATTTAAGCAAACAAATTAAATTTAGTAATGTTCAACTTAATCTGTTTAAATCTAGCCCAAACTAATTGTTTACAACCACTTAACTTAAAATATTTTAGTAAATTCAAGGAATTATCTTTGAATATTTTTTTTCAGTGTGTGCCTAAATTTCTTCATTTACTCAAATGGATTAAGTTCACAGTACTCATTAAGTTTAGTTTTTAAACGTAAATTGTTTGTTGCAATCTGTTTCCTCAAATGATTTGAGTTACCTTAACTTTTTGGGTTTTACCGTGCAGGCACACTGTAAAAATATCTGTAAATTGGCAGTTTACCATATTTTGTGATTCATGTTTTTATTTTTATGTTTCCTTGTTTATTAATTGCATTAGGGGAACTTGATCTTTCTTCCAACAGTAGATTACGCTACAAAAACATTTTATTAAACTGCTAGCCATTTTACAGATGTATTTCTCTATATATTAGGTCTTGCATTATATTATTTCAAACTACTAAAATGTCAATAAAAGTAATTTAGTTAAACTGTACAGTTGGATTTTCAACATCAAATGTCGACAGAGCAGAGATCAAGGTCCCATAAGGCAATTCACAGCTGTAAATAAACAGAAAACACTCGTGAATCACAAAATACAGAAATTGGTAATTAACAGATATTTTTATAGTGTAAGTAGCTAGCTAACAGCACCCCATGATGGCACATTTGGATTAAAAATTGTAAAACTCAACTGTTTAACTGTAGGGGAGTTGTAAAATGATCATATTTACAGAAAAGAGGAGCATTAAATGAAACTTACCAATTGATAACTATTGAAGTTGAATATAAATAAGTACATAAATTACAGATTTCAATCAATACGTCACAAAAATGTTAAAATTACAAAAAAAGTTAATAAATTAACATTAATAAATGTGATAAAATCTAGTAAAAGGATGTTGGAAAATTAATCCATAATTTGGCTTAAATGCTGGGAATTGGTCAACTTAAAAATTAAGTAATGAATTAGGTATTTATATATAAGTATGTAAAGTATAACTTTTATTTTTAATTATAAATAACAACCTTAAGTACAACATTATGCTTGACACGTTTATATACTGTATGACGCTATACAATTCATTAACCTTTGTTATTTAAACTGTAATGTAGTATTAATGTAGTTATAAGAAAAGCACTTTACAAATACATCTGAATTGAATGGAAACTGAAATTAAATTTGCCAATCAATCATTCATTTATTCACTCATCTGCTTTCGGCTTAGTCCCTTTATTCATCAGGGGTCACCACACCAGAATGAATCGCCAACTTATCCAGAATATGTTTTACACAGCGGATGCCCTTCCAGCTGCAACCCATGACTGGAAAACAACCATACACACTCATTCACACACATACACTACAGCCAACTTAGTTCATTCAATTCACCTATAGTGCATGTCTTTGGACTGTGGGGGAAACCAGAGCACCCGGAGGAAACCCACGCCAAACCCATGCCAACTGATCCAGCCAAGGCTCGAACCAGTGACCTTCCTGCTGTGAGCTCAATCAATCAATACAAATTAAAAATAAAAAAAGAAACACATTTT